TAGCAATGAATGAATGTTGGCAGATAACAGACTGGTGTCCAACAGTGTCAAGGTCGCGACGGCGCGTTTGTTATGGCGAGCGGTGCCAACTAATGTCACAGCATCGGACCAGCCTTGCCCTTCTAAAACTAATAACGAGAAAAGGCAACTCCGGCGCTCAATTGACAAATAACACTATTGTTAAGCCATTAGACAGTGTTTAATGTTCTGAAAGTAATACTTGACCTACAATAATTCTTTTTGATTGTTAAAGCGTTTCGTTCGTAGCTCATTGTTTTGGATTTTTATCGACTACAAAAAAGGAGGATTATGACGATTTTAATAGAACGCTGATAATTTTTGCATTGAGCCATTTAAATTTTATCCAGTTCTGACCAGTACCTTTTTAGCTATCATTAATAATATATATCATTGTTGACTTCAACTACATCGTTAATATTGTCAATTATTTTGATGAGGTCGTTTTTTTTTGGTAATTTTTTTATATATTGTAGGGGTTCGGGTCTACTTGGACACTGTCGTTTTGAGCATTAAAATCACTTAATTATTTCCCAAAGACCATGCTTCCATTAACCTGTATGTACACGATGACTAATTTCAAGTGTAGCTTCCATGGAATTTCCGCGAGCAACGATTCATTCGTTTATCGCTCTATCATTGAGCATAATGTGTGTTATCAGACTGGCATCGCGCAGAGTCACTAGACAGCGTGGGCTCTGACACCGTGCCGTCACAACGATCAATTCACTCCACATTGACAAATGGCTTGAAGAAACTACACGTACCAAGAATTTCGGAATTGTTTAGAGAAACTTTCCAGTCTACGATTATTATCTAGTTATTGTCTAGCCTATCGTCGTCTTTTGTATGCGGGTATTTATCGCATCAAACCTATAATCAAATCGGAGAAAAGTGAAATAGATGAAGAAACTTTCGCAAGAGTCTTTGTATAACATGATTTTTTTTTTGAACATGCAAACAAGTCTTCTTGTAAGCATATTTTTCAGAACAATTGTAAATATTGCCGTATGAGTAACGTCACTAACGTCAGAGAAAGTGTTGTGTAAGGTGTGTACACCTGACCGAGGGCACCTGGCTGCCAGGTTCAGCCACAACGAAATCGGTTCTTACTTATTACGGAACAAAGTTCATTTTGAAACGAGAACCAAAGGTGGCATTTTATCCAGGGTCACCCTCAGGCATGTTAGTGACGATTGGCCGCCCCTATTTGAATACTGGCTTACGGTATTTTAACATTTTAAATCACATAATCCAATGAATTGGGACTACGTTTATCGAAGCGTGAATGCACGAGCAGCCGAAGGGATCCGAAAATGAAATATTCATTACATTCGTACTTTGGCAAAATGTATTTAGGTGCACGCTGTAACAGAGCAATTTGCACATTATATATCACACTTTCTATGTTCGAGAGAGACAGAAGAACATGCATTCTTCTCTAATTACCCAGTTTATATCATTGAAAGCAAAATAGTCAAATCACCTACGCAGTGATCACGAAGCTTATAATTAGAAAGGCTTCGGTACGCGGTAACATGAGTAGGGCGACAGACTATGCGGTGCTGCTGAAGGGGACGCCGGAAGAAACAAAGTATCCAATTTCTCCACTTCCCTAATTCTGACGCAATTACATCAATGTGGAGCTGCGACGAAGAAAACCGACCGCAGCCTGGCTCAAATCTAGATACCGCAGAGATCTCGTTACGGAACAGTAAATACGTTCTTATTGTTCGTTTACGTTTTTCGCGACATCGTTTTTCCAAATTAAAAAAAAAAACAACTGTTCCATTTTTCTTTTCCGCATTGAACGACTGACAATTCAAAAACGTTACGTCTTGAAATTATTTACATACTGCATAATCCGGTAAAAGCTAATTATTTTCGTTCATTTAAAACACAGCTTGTTGTTTCAAGAGTACTTTCACAAGTCCCGTTCACCGAGAGTGGTACACGTTTATTACTTTTCCCATTGTTACACCGACCGATATTAACGTGAACTAATTGACAGTCGCCTGTTAACTTAAAATTTTCATCCATTAATTTACTTGTCGCACGTCGGTCAAACGTCAGACGGTTACTTCGGTGATGGATGGTCGATGAGGCGTTAGCTCCGAGGGGAACATCCCTCATGCGAGGTGTCAACATTTGAGATTAAAATATTATAGAAAGAGTTAGTACTATTCAAATGTGTGTCTTAAATTAACGAGACACAATATTACAACGAACTCGAATTTACTACAGAATTATTAGCCACTGTATTTATTGTATTAGTTTTGTGAAGAGGCGAAATATTTACAAAACAAAAAATCTTAAAAGGTACACGAGAGCCCTTATCGCTCTGGGCCATGGGCGGGTAACACCAACATAAAACTTTTTACAATAGGATTCGAGATCGACTATAGGATTGTGCTTTCGCCATCCAAAATATCTAGAACCACCCTGTTCTTTGTATCAAATTTATTATTTCTACACGAGGAACGCGCCGAAGGTCAATCAAGTTGGTCATGAAGAAGCCCTCTTCATTTCAACAAAAATACACGTTTTGTCGCGTCATAATCATGTGATACAACATAACAATGAACAAGTGTTAGTTCGGACTGTAGTGTCGCCAATCAATAAGTTTTGGCAGAAGATTTTGAACAAGCTCTGTGTTTTGGTAATCGAATTTATGTATTTGGTAATTAGAGCAATTAAAGAGAAACTTATTTAGTATATAAATAAGTTTCTTTGAAATCAATTTGGGTAGCAAACGTTTCAATTTAAAATGTTTTAACGGAGCTATGCAATTTCGTTATACCGACATTTGCGGTTTTACCTGTCTAAGAACTCGCGGTGACTCACACATTATTTTATGAACTCCAAGGTCAGCACGGCTCGATTGATAGATAAAAGCGGTGTGCAATGTATTCATATTGCTACGCGCACCATGAAATCATATTTTCATACTCATGTCATTTGCAACTGTGTGATAACGACAATTAGCATTATAATTGATAAAAGCCGTGATAAACATACGATTAAAACATTTCAACGGAAAACTATTTCTCATGTTTACAGAGTATTGTTAGCTCATATTGGTTTTTATTTATTTATTGGAATACATGGTTGGGCGAGCTCACGGCCCAACTGATATCAAATAGTTTTTAGAGCCCAAATGATCGAAGAATGAGAGCACGTATGTAACTGATTCGCGAAAGATCTAGGCAGGATAATGGTAACTATCCATCTATAGCTCACATTGCTTTATTTCACGTCGTTGTTCCTTCAAAGATGAAGTTAGTCGTGGACATGTCTTCGGTTACGGTTGATACACTCATTTGCAGAATTTTAACTCAGAAAAGTAACACTGCTCTAAACGATCGTCTTATCTACTATGCCGCTGTGTCGTTCGCATATTTTGATGTCTTAAAGTATAAATATTTAAATGACTAACCTAAAAACCGATCGCGTAAATAAGCAGCAAGCAAGCAAATAATGGACATTAGGAATGATATAGACTAATCTAGAGAGTATAGACGTTGTGAATAACATTGGCCCAGGCCGTATTCAATCTAGCATTTAATCGTGAATGTTACTCGAAAGTTCCGAGGTGAATCGTTAGCTTGTTTTAAGTTTATCTTAAATAATACCTAGCTGTAATATAGTTTCTATTATGTCATTCGCTCAATGATAACGGTCCTATGAGTATCAGCCGTCAAGCATGCGTCGAGCAACGAAATACATGGGGAAGATCGTACGCCATTGGTATGTAAGGCGGTGCACGAAACAGATCTACTGCGTTAACACGATTTCGGGAAGATTTCCAATTCGGTAACACGTATATCATGCGATACGGCTATGAACCTACAAGTGCTTGATTAGCCGCTCTCACGACAACCATCTTCGAAACATTTCCGAAATTTATAACAGCATAATTTCGTTGCATGCAAAGCAATTAAAATGGTGTTTCGGTGTTTTTATAATACACTCTACGTGCGGGCTGTGAGACGAATATATCATAATTTAAAGGCCAACATGTGCGAAGTGTAGAAACTCTTCCAAACAAGAAAGATATTTTTAACCAACTTAAAAGGTATATACATGTTTATGCACATATATAAATGAAAGAAATGAAAGTTTTATAAACTCATACTTAAAAGATATTAATACAATCATTACAACTCTACGTTTACAGTGCAATAATTAGTCGCTAACGATAATAATTATTACTGTAAATTGGGTGTTACGATTGGCAGTAACAGTAGATAATTTCTTGTTCTTTTTATTATTACGAGCCTATGTCTACCACAATTAACTACATATTTCCTTTTATTAATGTATCATTTGAAATTGATTCTTTTTTTGATTGAGTTTTTTTTTTTACTAACCCAATGGCGATATCAACGTATAGTGCCACTATGTACGCTTAGAACTGTAAAGAATATATTACTACTATCATATTAATGTCCAAACATCAATAATTTGGTAAAACCTTATCAAATTTCCTATTCGGATTGTTATGAACATTTCAGAAGTTGTCATATTGGTTCGATTGCTTTCGATTGATGCGCTTATTAACGATCGACGTTTATTTTTATAGAAAGTAGGTAATAGTTGTTTCTGCTTTATCATTCAAGCTACCTATCGCTAGAGGGGTGATGTTATTTACAGAATCTTATACCTTTAAACGAGCAATTCTTGTATATATATAATCTGAATCTCGGAAACGGCTCCAACGATTTTCATAAAATTTAGTATACCAGGGGTTTTGGGGGCGATAAATCGATCTAGCTACGATTTATTTTCAGAAAATTTTGTTTTATTCGTGTTTTCAATAATCAACTCTTCCCGACATCTATTGGCGAATAATAATACTATTTTTCTTAATTGTAGGCAACTAACCGCTTTAAAGACACAACAAGATGGCGTTATCAAAAAAAAAACCGAGCAATGCTCGGTCATCATCTAGTATGTATTTAAGCGTGTATTCGTAGACTTACCCGGATCGGCGGCGAGCTGCCTATAAACGGAGAGGGCGACGTCGTCTTCGGTAACAAAGTCCCAGAGTCCGTCGCAAGCAATCACAACGAAGTCTTCGTCGCCGTCGAGGTCCACTGTCGCGATCTCGGGCCGCGCCGTCACGTACGGCTTGTATTGTGCGTCACCTACAAAAAAAAACAACCATTCACACTTTAAGGACAAAAACATACAATTGACGACTTACAATAGACCCCGGGTGGAAACAAATTAGGACACTTCAGCAAAAAAACCTTGAGAGTTATTTGTGGTCCTTATTAAAAATTGACGAATTACATTTTTTCTGTTCTATTGAATACCGTATTCGCATTTCGTATGATTATAAATTATTTTACTACATGTTTGAAAAACTGATTACCATGGTAAATCAAATCCGACCGTAAAAATCATAATCATATATAATAGTTTGGGACTCGTAATCTACCTAATACATTAATTTTATATATGAAAATTCTTAAGCCGATTGACACTTCACTCTGATAGACGTGCCCTACGATTTCGCCCGCGTTAAAACTTTATTTAGAAGGTATGAAACCCGCATTTCACTCTGGGTCATAAGTTAAGTTCCATTGCAATGGGTACTGTGGCAGTTTTGCTCTGCCTTCCCTATTAGGTTTTCATAAACTCTATCCAGAATGGTGGTTTTTGATGAACGCCTATATCGCAAAAAGAGTATTAAAGTAAAGTAATGAAAGTTTAAATTAAAATATAAATTTAAAGTCCATCGAACTATTATACTAATTAATCTAAGGAGAAGTTGTTTTACAGAATTGTTTGAAAAAATAAATTGGTACAGGATTGGTATCGATTTAACAGGGCCCATATTAGACTAATCTGGCATGAAACTTTGCGGATAGGTAGGTGTCGCTGTCGGGAAGGGAGCTGGAACTAAACGTCGAACCTAATCTCCCTTGGAACGCGATATCGATGAGTTCTAATCTCTCAATAGAAGAGGGAAGCTCACTGAGCGAAAATGTCAATATTGGATTGTAACTATTGTCGCCCTTTGGATTTATATGCGTTACGAGGGATGGCACTTTGATTTCGATCAGAATTGAGACCAATGATTCTTAAATTATGACGATTCATTTTCAGAATAAAATACAGATAACAATAACAGTCACTGCTTTACTAACAGCAACACATAAACACACACACATTATACTCATTCTGTGTTATATTTACATTTTCAAATACCGTAGAGTTAAATGGGATTTTTAAGAGGAATTTTCAGTTTCGACGTCCGTCGTTGCTTCCGCCTTTCTGTCTTCCCCCAAACGAAAATAAATTTACACCATACATAAAAATATCGATAAAAGTCGTAATTTCAAGGCGACCCTAAAATGCAACGAACGCGTGTCCAAGTGATCGATATAGTTCGTGCAAGTTGGGGTTGTAGCAACAGGAGGGTTGAAGTAGAGGAGGGTGCCCGGCGACTCACAGGCGCCCAACGCGCGCTCCTCAACACAATTGAGTTGTAAATGAATGCACTGCTGCTATTGTTTTAACTAGGTACACTAACGCACGTGGGATGTAATATTCATAAGTCGTAATGAAGCCCGGTTGACTTCGTCCAGTGGAACTATTGATGATATGCAACAGCCAGGTGTGAAGAATAGTCAATGAAAACTAAGCTGTTGAATTTGTATTGTTTCAATGGAGTTGGCTACAGTCAACATGTGAATATTTTCATATGACACTGACATATCATGTTTAGGTCTCACTTGCATTGGTATAACTGCCTCCCATGTCCGGTGTTTAGACTAGAGTGTGGTCTCATTACTCGGCCACTCACCAGTGCTAATTTTTCTTTTCCTACCTATAAGCATAGGCATAGACTTGAGAGGCTATATATGCGTTACCTTGGCGTGTAAGTGAGATCTCGGGGCTCAAACCGGAAGTGTTGCTAACACTGGCTCTGGCAAGAGCAGTGCTTCGCAGAAACTACAACCGAATCGGAAAGGCGACCCACGAGAAGATCCGGCGAGAAACTCAGTGGGCTGTGTCTGTGGGAGAGCGCTCATTATAACTTTAAGTACTTTAACTTAGAAGAAGAAAAGTACGAAAATGTGGCGAGTGGGAATTTTATATATGTGTATATATTTTCAATACAGCAATTTACCTATACCACAGTAGTCCTTACACTTGTAACACTTTACTGGTGGTAGTACCTCTTGTGAGTCCGCATGGTTTGAAGGGTGGGACCACCGTTGTAACTATACTGAGACCTTAGAACTCATATCTCAAGGTGGGTGGCGGCATGTACATTATAGGTGGACTGTTAGCTCGTCCACCCATATATGCAATAAAAAAATACCTTTGTTTGACTGGTAGAGAATGCCTTAGGCATTCAGTTCGCCTCTGTACTCTTGTGCAAAAGTTAAATAAATAATTTAAAGTTACTACAACAACTGGGTTGCAATACTCAATAGCTGAAGAAGCTGGAGTCAGATATTCGTATATTTTAACAGTCGAAGATATTCCATCTATCCGTGTCCATTGGCTTCTTCTTTTTTGTTTATTACTTTATAACTTCTAAGCTTTTAAACTCATTATTCCGGTATAATAGTAATAACAAAGGATCTACAAATTTAAGTTATGAACCAGAGAGTGACACAAGCAATAATTTATCTCGAGAAAATACAACCGTGTCATGCGAACAGTATTATTCAAAGATTAAAAACCCACTAAAACGTAAAATTAGTTATATATTATTATTAAGGATAGATTCATTCATATGCAAACCATATAACAGTATAGATCGTACCTTTATTTTAATATTTCTGGTAATTATAGCAGATGTAAAAAAAAAAAAGCTGCCTCAAAAAAAAAGGTGCTATTTTCACCATGAGTATCGCAAAAAACCTAAACGAGATCACAAACGTGACATTTACGGTAAATATGAAACGCCCAGCGTGATATCCAGACGCAGCATCCGTCCCTGCGAGGGCGGACACAACAAACAGTTTAATGATCGGCACACGACATCAATAAAGTAAGTCGCGCCGTGAAAAATGACCGTGCACCCGCGCTCTCTCCCAATAACAATATAACGACCGATTAACTTCACTTTTAAGCGTCCGGGGTTCTCGGTAACGCAGATTTTTTTAAATTACTGTATGATTTTTTTAATAAGATTGTTCTATTAAAAGGAATGCCAGTTTTAGGGTACACCTTTATTATCGTATCTTCTTGTTTCTCCATTGAAATCAAATATTTCTAATCAAACGATGTGTGTCTACTGTCTTTCGTCTCGTTAATTCTTGTCGGTAAAGATAAAATTTATGCAAATTGCTCACTTTTTACGCCGTTTTTTTTTTAAGACTTAAGTTAGATTTGTTAAAATACCATTTATTACAAATAATATCGGTTGTTTTAAAATTTAAAAAAAAAGAGTATTTTTACACAGATATTTTCAGCCTTGGTCATGGTACACCTTCGTGCTCTAATTCGTGATGGTTAGAAATTAATTTAAAAAAAAACACATTAATCAAAATTTGTAGTCACCTGGGTCTACTCTGAGAATCTCATTTCGTTAATGCCGACGCTGGACTGTTTGTCACAGACGTCCTGCCTATCCCAGCTGCTATTATAACAATACGTTAATTGACTGACCAAAAAATTTGGACCAATATTTAATAATTGTTTACTGGTGGTAGGACCTCTTGTGAGTCCGCGCGGGTAGATACCACCGCCCTGCCTATTTCTGCCGTGAAGTATTAATGCGTTTCGGTTTGAAGGGTGGAGCAGCCGTTGTAACCATACTGAGACCTTAGAACTTATATCTCAAGGTGGGTGGCGCATTTACGTTGTAGATGTCTATGGGCTCCAGTAACCACTTAACATCAGGTGGGCTCTGAGATCTTCCAACCATTAAAGCAATAAAAAAAAAATCACCAGATAAGAGCGAGCGGTGGAAACTTCAATATCCTATTCCTGTCTACGTACTGTAAACGGGCAAACAACTTATTCAAAAAGATGAACAGTGTAATGCAAAGATTAAAAACATCCGTCGTTTTTTTTTAAGTGATTTTATGACCTGTTAACTAAGACCTTTAAGTCATGTCTTATTTTAATTTATATTCTTATTTTTATGAAGAATGATAATATGGAGTGAAATGAAATGAAAATGATAAATTTGAGACATTAATCAAGTGGGATGAAATTAAATGAAATGAGATGATATGGGATGAAATATAATCTTAGTAAAATGGTGGTCATTTACTAAGATTTTTTCAGTGTACTTTTTGGAGGATCCCGAGAAGTTGCGTCCAGCGGCTTTGTTTCATTTTCCCACATTTGTGCACTTTCACAGATATTAAACAGTTAATAAACCACCGTTACTACACATTTAAGCCTGAAGAAATACTAAATAGACAAAATAAAACAAATCACACAACTTCACTCCTCGCGTTCCCGCCAAAAAGTCCACGTCCGTCGTAAATGCTAAGTCGCAAAGATGACAGGGTAATAGACATGAAGCGTCCCAGTGAAGTTTTTATGTCGTTCCTTCAGTCATACGTCAATAAAAAAAAGTCACGAGCCGTGCACCTCAATCTTGTAATGCGCCTCGGGAGCATTTCGCACACAACATTCGAGTTCTTGAAGTACCTACTTGATATTTGTTCTGTTGCGTTTTTTAACGCTCCACAAAAACCGAATGGTGACAATGGAGTTTTTATGTTTTCCTTGGAAACTCTACCTTGTCAATTTTTTTTTTCTTGGATCCAAATAATTCAGCTATTTCTTTATTTCAGTAGGTTATGCTTTATAATACCAAAATTATTTAAATTTACTCTTAATTTTCACTGGCCACTAAATAGATAGTGACTAACTATTAAAAAAACAAAATCAAATGATCCCTCATCTGACGTAAAGATTACTATTTACTATACTATAAATTGTAAATGAATAAAGTAAATGCGAGATGATATCGTAAATGTTAAATATGTACTACAATTTTTTTTCCGGACAGGGCCGAACATTATACAAGGAGTCCGCGCCTATGGAGCACGCGGGGTATGTGCATGCAGTCTGTTAAGAGCAGACCGCAGGCTTAGGTTATTTTAGGATAAGTCCGATCGAGACGTCCGATCTCCGCCCGAGGTCAGAACCCGGGGCTTTCCCGCGGTCAACACTACAACCAGACTCGCGGCTCCACTTCGAGAACTTCGAGGCGATCGTCGACAACTAACGACGCCGGTCTCTGCGGCACGGCGACCCATCAGGCAGCACGGGCGATACCGCTGGTATTCCAGGATACCCCGCTGGGTAAGAATCAGCCTGCCGGGTCGGAATACAATACGCTGCCGACCGAGTTGTTCTTCCACAGTACATCTGACAACAATAGCAACGACGGCAATGCAAATCGCACGGCGGAAACCAATCGCCGACGCGTCACCCCATCCTCTTGGTGCAAGCGCTCTAAAGTGGCGGTAGAGTGCAGCGCAGTCTCGACCCCCTCAGGTCACCCTGTGACCATTACTTGGTGGAGACTCCTCACAGAGACCGGAGCTGAACAAACGGCCTCTTCCGACCCCCGGCTCGGCGGCAGCGGAACGGCGCCGAGAGGGAGGAAGAGCTTTCTCTCTCCTGTCCCACCATCTCCTGGGAGATGATAGACTCACAGAAGTCGTGCATCTCGCTCTGTAAAAGCGGGGCAGTATGCGAGCGCATGCTCCGCTGTATTATCATCTTCTCATCATAGCCACTGCAGTGTTGGAATTCCAGCGTCGGTTCCCTCCGGGCGACGTGGTACAGATAACGGCCGAAGCAGCCGTGACCCGTGAGTACCTGCGTCACTCGTAAGGTGTGACGTCCTCAATTGCGATTCACTCAGACTGAGAGGCAGTGGCGGATCGCCTCGACTGTTCGTCACCCGTAGACGGGGTTCGGCATGCAGCCTGCCAAAATTGGAGCCTCCGCGTTCGTACTACCGTCGCACCGGGACGCGACTCTTCCTCCATGGAACGAAGATCGCGTCGCCACGCGCAATCCACGACGAGCGCCTTCACCTCCAGGCCCCCAAACATTATCTGAATTGTGAACTAAGAATGTATGTAGGAAAATACAATGCAGATCATGCGACTTCACACAGAAGAGAAGTAACAGTATTAGTGATATCTTTCTTATTCATAGCCGGGCAAATAATTATCGTTCAGACTCTCTGGACGCCTGTAACATCGCTCTGAAAAACTTACGATAGGAATTTTCTTTCACGAGCACAACATGACTGAACTGTACGCTATCAATAAAAATCATTGATTTACTCTTAGTTAAATCAAAGTATAAGTACCCTTTGTGGCGGGTAGCCATCATACAACGCAAGATAATTGACAGATGCCTGAATCTCGCTTACGACATTTTCAAGATAAGCTTGCATATATACAAGTTATGAACAACAACATTCGGACCGTCGGTCTACCGAGCAATATCATCCGCTCGGTGGAAGATCTTCCCTTTGTCGTATATCTTCCCAAACCCTTGAACATCAAATTTCGGCCTGAAGGCATCTCCACACTCTTAGCGCAGTAGGTAAATGATTATATTTATGTACCCTCGTTTGTCCACTTTTTGTGCGCACGCTACGGTACATAAACGTGGCGCTATGGAGAAGCGAATGATGGCGATACAAAGCTTAGTTTTAATATCGTAACGGCTTTATTAACTTACCAATGGCCCTGGAAACTGCCAATTGACCGTTGACTCGCCACGTGCCCCAGTAGATTACTGTCCCTCCGCTTGTCTCTATCCGATCTCGTTCGTCCTGTATCCAAAATTTATTTATTTATTTACCAACGACTTTCTAAGTTTTCTCTAGTTTATCTAAATATCCTCCAAAATTTCCAATAAGCAACAAACTGTAACTATTTGAGAAATATACTGAAATGAAACATTATAAAGATAATGTTGCAACTCTCAGTATAAGATCACCCAGGTCTCAACATGTGCCCACCCAATGCTAAGTGTAGGCCTCTTCATATGCACTCCATTCGTTTCGGTCTTTTGCCTTTCACTTTCAGTTCTTACCAGCTATTAGCCCCGGGTAAAATAAAATAAATAATACACTAAAATAACCTAACTATTGTGTATATAAAAAACGACTTTAAGACGAAGCTGTTCTAGAATCTTTCTATCCGTCTTGGAACCAGAAATCATAATGGCTGGACTGCATGAACATTATAACGACGAACCTATTTTTATACTAGAAAACACATTTTTTTAATGCCATCCTAATCCATTTGGTTGCTCAATTATTTTAAGCTCAACGATTTGTGAAAATATTACTTATATTGTTTAAAAAACACAAATCAAATCAATCAAGCCAAATCAAGTTTTTGATACCCTCAAAAACGTTATGATAATTTTTTTAAATAATAATTTAACGTTGTTGCTAACTAACCTGTCGTCCCGGTTTGTGCGGGCGCACGAGCTGCATGAGCCGCATGCGCTTGGCGAGCAGCGCCAGCGAGTCGCCCGCCCAGGCCGCCAGCAGCTGCGACCCGCGCAGGCACACCGCCACCGCCGTGCTGCCACCGTTCGCTCGCTGTGCAAACAAACCCTCGCGTCATACATACGATACGATACTTGTTTGAACTCGTTCCAGATTCATAATCACACAATCTTGATTTTTTTTTTAATTGCTTAGATGGATGGACGAGCTCACAGCCCTCCTGGTGTTAAGTGGTTACTGAAGCCCATAGACATCTACAACTTAAATGCGCCACCCACCTTGAGATATAAGTTCTAAGATCTCAGTATAGTTACAACGACTACCCTACCTTTCAGACCGAAACGCATTACTGCTTCACGGCAGAAATTGGCAGGGCGGTGGTATCTATCCGCGCGGACTCACAAGAGGTCCTACCACCAGTAAACAATTATTAAATATTAATACCATAGATTTACGATAGTCAAGGTTTAACATATTTGTTGTGGCGAGTTTATTAGCGTGTTTAATGTACTACCCTATAGATGGCGTTATTACATACTCTGTTCATATATTAAATGGTTTATTATAAAAATGCTTTACCAAGATACTACAAAAGACTACATAGGCGAAGGCGCCATCACATACAAAACGTTTATGAACTTAATTAATAAAATAAAACAAATTCATGTTGCTTCACTCCTCGCGTTCCAGCTAATAATTTCTAATAAACACTTCAGTAAGTTAACAACGAGTAGTAGTACTTAAACTCCTGAAAAGTATCGATAATGTTCTAGTATCGATACTTTAATGGACGTCGAGTGACGACCTGTACTAGATACTTTTGACTAGAATCTGCCCCGGATATGAATATTTTATACTCGATAGATTCGCAGAAATCGCAATTCTATTTGAATTTAAGGTTGCGATTAGCAGAGAATACAGACTTTATACAGCAAATAAGTACGAATGTATATTAGGTTACGTTGTGAACACTTTCCGGTACATTTTTTTTGTACTTAGAGCTTCTTACTTAGCTATATTTTGAATTCACCGCTCAAGGTATACAATATTCCCAGCTTCGCTACCTAAACTTTTCACATTTATCAATCCCTAGTCAACAGATGCCGCTACTGTGTGAAACCAACTGTAACTCTTTTAAAAAAAATGTAATAGGTGACGCTACTTTTGGTAATAGACTAGCATAGGTAGAATAAGGAAATGTGAAGATCATAGAAATAAAGAGTCCCAATCGCCCTCCCCTCCCTTTTTTAGTCGTAGTTAGGAATGCAAAGTATGAATGGAATGAATGAAAGTACGAGAGGAATAAATGTGAGAACTGGTATGATAAAAAGGCTCGGAATGAATGCGTTACCTAGGTTTTAAGCCTCTTATGGGCTGGAGTATAAACTAAAATTAAAACTGAAACAAAAAACGTAGATAAGAATCTCCGGCTTTGTTTTTGCTAGAGGTACTGAAAATCAAAATTGACTAGCATATTGATTGAGGATCCATAGTTTCTCCATACCTCTTGATTACTTTTCCTGATAAATTCTGCATCGGTTCTTAAGAAGGCGTCTCGCATCGCTCGTTGTAGGTCAGTAGTGAAATGTGGGCTCTCAATGAGGTACTGGTGTAAATGCGCCGCGCAATAAGTCGCCGCGGCCGAGCCTGCATGCCCATCATACACTGCATAGAAACTTGTAGGCTCTGTCGTCTGAAAACACAACAAATGAACATTAGGTATTTTGATAAAAAACCATACTAAATATTACGCTAAGATTTCTTTCTTTAAGTTCTACTAGTAGAAGGACCCTCTAGTGAGTCCGCGCAGGAAGGTACCACCACCCTGCCTATTTCTGCCGTGAAGCCGTATTGCGTTTCGGTTTGAAGAGTGGGGCAGCCGTTGTAACTATACTTGAGACCTTACAACTTATATCTCAAGGTGGGTAGCGCATTTACGTTGTAAAAGTCTATGGGCTCCAGTAACCACTTAACACCAGGTGGACTGCGAGCTCGTCCCCCCATCTAAACAATTAAAAAAAGTTTTAATGCTGAAGGCTGACACTATGTACAGACAATAATCGCTCTATAACGACTTCCATAAGTCAGATAAGAAAAGTTGATGACTGATGAAAAATTATAATAAACTTACTTCTTTTCCAAACAGTGCCTCCAAATTTCCGAATTCAACGTGTCTATCTTCCATAACTCTCCTACCGTTTTTGGTGGCACATGAAACAGTCTTGAGATCTCTTTGTGCGATAGGAGGTGGGGGAGGGAGTGTGTCAAGCTTGGAATTATCTAAGTACCGCAAGCATACATTGTTTACACGGGCTGTCACAGCTTGCATCAGTCTCAGCGCTATATAAACTGAAACAGAAAACCCTTTGTTATTACATAACCAATTACAACAGTGGGTTTTGTTGAAAATACGCAAAAAAAAAGTTGACGGTAATGTTGCTTGCGTAATCTAAAAATTACAGGCTCTGGTTGCTAGTATTACGAAAACATACATTCCGTGAGGTTTGTGTTGTAGGATTTCATATTTATAAATTGTTAAAATTGTTAAAATCACTAATTAAATACGTTCCGCCGGTAAATTTTTGATTTCAAGTTACCACAATGTTAAGCCAATATCATATTGTCCTGTTAGGAAAAAAAAAATTAGGCAAATTTACTATTATCTATTCTGATTTTATAAAATATGGCGGGCTTGTTGTCGTTATGAGAGAAAGAGGAGTGAGTGAAGATGACGGCTGATAGAGGAGAATGAAGAAGAACACTTTTGAAGTCGTCGTGGCCTAACGGAAAAGAAGTCCAGAGCATTCGTGTTGAGCGATGCACCGGTGTTCGAAGCTCAGGCGGGTACCAATTTTTCTAATGAAATACGTACTTGAGAAATGTTCACGATTGACTTCCACAAAATGAAACCGGCAAAATTATAATTTGCGTAATTACTGGTGGTAGGACCTCTTGTGAGTCCACACGGGTAGGTACCACCACCCTGCCTATTTCTACCGTGAAGCAGTAATGCGTTTCGGTTTGAAGGGTGGGGCAGCCGTTGTAACAATACTTGAGACCTTAGAACTTATATCTCAAGGTAGGTGGCGCATTTACGTTGTGGACGTCTATGGGCACCAGTAACCACTTAACACCAGGTGGTCTGTGAGGTCGTCCACCCATTTAAGCAATAAAAATTTAAAAAAATTGCAAATTTGCTAATAACGTTAATGACGTCACCTCGCTCAATTCGAACACCTCCATTTAGAATAGAATAGAGTGCAGATAATATCGATATTAATTATGCATTCATGCCATTTGCGTTCGCAATATAATCTTATGCGTTGAGGTTTTCGACTCATACCTGTGACATCAATAGCTCTAATATTGCATTAATCATCATGTGATATAATTTAGCGTACGTAAGGGGCCACTGGTAATTTTAAGCTTAGATGTATTGAATATTAATACGCAGTATGCTGAACTTCGCCACATTGATCCACTAGACTTACGTCTGTTTCGAAATCTTGGCATGAGTCACATAGATCTACATTCATTCATAATTCAAGATAAGTCGCGTTCATAAGTTAAAGGTGAGCTAACAACTCGATACGAAGACATGCTGTTTTATCAGTATATATCACGTGATATACGCCTTATCAAAATATTTCTTGCATTGGATATCAATCAAACCCTTCACATTATCATAGCGATAACTATGTTATTAAATGTGGTCATCCATCGTCTGTTAGGAGGTTTTTCAGTGAATCATTCAAATTGTTATCTTTAAAAAAAAATCAAAAGTAATATAAATTATTATTTAATACTAGCTGACCCGGCAGACTTCGTAGTGCCTCAATCGATAAATAAAATACCTAAACTTTTGTATAAGATAAACTTAAAACAAACAAAAGGAATCGGTCCGATGGGGGACACATCAAATAAAAACAAAATTGTTATTTTTATTTAATTCCGAGCATTTACATATTTATCTACCTTTTAAGCCTTCTCTGGACTTCCACAAATAATTCAAGACCAAAACTACCCAAATCGGTTCAGCCGTTCTCGAGTTTTAGCGAGACTAACGAACAGCAATTCATTTTTATATATAGAGATTATAGCAAATTTTCTACTATGCCGTGATAAAACAAACCTATATTATGCAAACAGTGTAGTCCATCATAATAAGTACTAATAATTTATAGTTCAATAACTTAGCACAACGTATCTAGGTCGATCCTATACATAGGAATTTTGCTTATATAATAATTAAATTCATATACAAATCGACCGGTCAGTATTCAGTTCAGAATGAACAACGGAACTTTTGTTGGTCACAGTTAATGCGGATGATGAAACTAATCAACACTTTGCCATCTATAGATGATATCATTTTTTATAAAAATTCGCGGTCAAAATGAGTCGACTAACAACAACAGGTAATATAGAACAGCGAATATAAGTACTCATGTTTGTGTTATTTTATTTATGATATATGATAATCTTGTTCATTCTAAATACAGATATATGTGATCAATTTCGCCCTAACTTAATAAGGTTATGAACCATATTTAGTTGCGGGGCCTAAATTCTATTTAAGTAAAAAATATGCACTGTAATTTGAACTAGTATGTGATGAAAAAAGCAAGAGCGTCGACGTAGCAACAACATTCATTGAATCAAATAAGAACCAATAAAACTGTTTGCGTCCCCGAATCAATTCTTGCTGTCAATCAACGTAAATGCCATTTACTATCTACACCATCATTTGTGTTCCATATTTTGTCCCGTCTTTGAATCCAAGCTATCCTAAAAACAAACTAAAAAATGTGTTTTTTTTGTAATTCGATGTTTTTGTGATAAATTTTCAAATAAATGTACCAATTTTTTTTTGTTTATACATAATATAATATTATATGTATGTATATGTAAACTTCGACTGACATCATTCGGTATTAAATATGACGAGTCGATGAAACGAGGTATCAGTTGGTCTACCAGCGAATTCAATTGCTAAGCTTCTTTTATTCACACTTTTTTTTATCGAGTAGACGGGTCGTTGAGTCTACTGCCCATTTGATGCTGAACAATCCCAGAGCCCATGGACATCGTAATATGAATACTACCGACGCAACGTTAAGACATAAGATCGAATTCTTTATTTCTCTAATACTCGTATAAATTTTAACCTTTCTAATTGGAAGTATGGTGCCAACGCCGATGAACTCACTCCACACTTTTTTTATGATTGATGGTTTACTGATGGCCTGGATGCCTTTCCAGTTTCACAAGGACAGGTGGGCGAGCAAGGGCTCAGCCAGAAGGGGCGAGATTTGCTAACAGCTGCCTCCAAGGGAAACCTAACAACTCAAGAGTAGCTGCTTCGCGAATGAATCTACTACCGGATCGGAATCGACACTCCACACTGCAACCAGGCCAAGTCTACGCAGTTAACTTTTTAACGTAACCAATTACTGGTGATAGGACCTCTTGTGATTCCGCACGAGTAAGTACCACCGCCCTACCTATTTCTAACGTGAAGCAGTAATGCGTTTCGGTTTGGGCAGCCGTTGTAACTATACTGAGACCTTAGAACTTATATCTCAAGGTGGGTGGCGCATTTACGTTGTAGATGTTTATGGGCTCCGGTAACCACTTAACACCAGGTGGGCTGTGAGCTCGTCCACCCATCTAAATAATAAAAATAAATAAAAAACATACCTGATTCATCAGACTTGTAACCGAATTCAGCAGGATGTTTCTTCGATGCTACTCGCACCTCGTCTAATACGATTCGCCGCAGGGGCGTCATCAGCGTCAGTGGGCATTGTCTGTGAATTAACAAAAGTACATTAAATAATAATAATTTTTAATTTTGCTTTACCTAATTTTGGAAGTCATTTTGGCCTAAGTGATAAGACGCTCGCTGTACTTGTTTTTTTTTTGTTTTTTTTTTTAATGCTTGAAAGATTACTGTTGTAACCTTCTTTTCCATATTCCATTATTTGAAATATACTTCAAACACATTGTCATTTTTGCTACCTATCATTATATTTTATGCTATGTCTTGAAAACATTGTTTTATTATATTGGCGACGAGTTAAAAGAAATTAAGATGAACGATGAACAATTCGCATTATTTTTACATGCACAACAAAACCAGCAAGAGCAGANGGTCTCCACTCCTGTGCCATTTGCTCCGCGTCGAAGTAATCGACCTAAACAGGCACCCCGCCGTCTGATCAACGAGATGTAGATGGGGAGGAATGTTGTAACCTTCTTTTCCATATTCCATTATTTGAAATATACTTCAAACACATTGTCATTTTTGCTACCTATCATTATATTTTATGCTATGTCTTGAAAACATTGTTTTATTATAATTACTGGTGGCCCGGAGGCCTTTCCAGTTTCACCAGGATGTGTGGGCGAGCAAAGGCTCAGCCAGCAAAGGTTCAGCTAGCGCTGTACTTGTATATGTGCATCTTAAAATCCCGCAGACAGGTACCATTTCATTTGTTAACGAATGACTTATACGATGAATTGTAATAAAATCAAAGCCGCAATTATATTTTGCGTAATTACTAAAGTAAGGTTTTGTATTCTTTATACGAGGAGCACTGCTGCTCGAGATACAGGTTTTTACACCTAGTTCAAGCACAGATGCAAATTATTATTGTGTTTCTATTTCTATGTTGCAATAAATAAATAAAATAAAAATAGATTTCTATACAATGGAGATATAAATCTCAAGGTCAAGATGGGTGGCGCCTTTTACGTTATAATGTCTATGGGTGGTCTGTGAGCTCATTCATTCGTCTAGGAAATTACTATTTTCCATGTCAAATAAGTATCCGTTTTTTTTGTGTTCTTAAATAATAAATTAGACTATTTATGAAATAATTACTGTATGAAATTATATCGTGGGAAAAATTTAATAGAAAAAATCAGAATTAATACACTTAACATATTTAAAAAAAATGTTCAGGACGATCAGGTGTTATGTAACCGAACGATATTAATAGAATGTTAAATCGATAACAGAAACAGAATAGAACTTTATATGAAAAAATAGACGATGAATAGTCGTAGATCTTTATCCGTCCGTGACTACGAACATTGTAAAGTATCCGAAACGTCGAAAATAACATTAAAAAGAGAGAAAAAATACCCGACATTAAATCTTAAAAGTAGTTTTAATTACTAATATAGAAATAGAACTAATGAATAAAAATGACCAAAGTTACGACTGTAGCACTAGAAATAAATCTTTAAAATTGGCGTCATAGTATCGAGAAAACTGAGGAAGCCATGACTGACAATTAAAAAGACTAGACCAAACGTAATAGTTCACTTCAATATACAAAGGTTTTTTCATTTCTATTTACCCGTTGCTTTTTACTTCCGTTCTGATCCAAACCTCGAGATAATTATTCGATACGAACTTACTTTCATTCTCCTTAAAATAAATCGTACACGAAAGTTAGTATCATAATAGTTAGAGCAGTTTAATATATTTTCTTTTAAAGCACAACCAATATTTTAGGTCAACAAAAATTTGCATTTTCCCAAGCGAATACTGTTGAAACGTATTTTAAGAATACTATTTTTAACTCTACGATTTACGTACATAAATAGTAAAATGTTCTTTGTTTATTTAGGCAACAGATCGTTGAGTTTAAAAAAATAAATACACTACGAGGGCATTCACACGTAGTCCACTATGACCAGAAACATATGTTAAGTTTCCCCGGTACGGTAGCCCTTATAGTTTAGTTAAAAAATAAAATACGGACGTATACGTCTGTATGTCTGTTGTCTGTATACAACATAAAGAGGTCACTGCCCTTAGCTCCGAAAAAAGGAAGCAAACACTCTCCTCATATTGACAATATATTTTTGACATTCTTATTCTATCACAAAAACACAACGTTTGGTTTAGATGTGAACAATACAAAATTGTTTACTTTGAGAATGCAAGTCACGAGATGAAAACGTGCACTCGAGCAAATTGTATAAATTGGGATAAACGTCCGAAAATGTCTTTTAGAACGGTGCATACTGAGTTATAAAATGAACATTTAACTGTACCGGGAGTTCATAGTGCGTTGACATCGTCCACGTCGTTACTATCAGGAGCATCCGTACCGTCCCACGCGTCTTTCGTGCCAATTTATACACCGAGGGTTTGTATAAAGTTTATCTATCTATAAAGATTGTCTTTAAGGTTTGGACCATATAGGGTTCCTTACATTCAGTTCAAGGAATAAAGGTAGTCAACGGCAAAGCTGTGTCTCTAGCATTACCGACGACAATAGGCAGCAGCGACCACTTTTCATGGGATCGCATTCATACTAACTACATACATATATTAGATTATTATAGTATTAAATGAGTGGGTTTTATTAGAAACACCTGTATTTAATTACAAACGATCATTCGTTTTGGCTGTTTTACATAGCAACAGGCAGTGGCTTGGCTGTGCCCCTGGAATTACTGACGTCCGTGATGGGAGACGGTAATCACTCACCTTCAGGTGGGCCATATGCTCGTCTGCCTACGATGGCAATAAAAAGAAAATTGTATCGTTAGTAGACTGTTTGACTAATTGTAACAAAAATATCAAATACGTTTTTGTATGCGCGTGTATTTTTTTATTATATATTTTATTTATTTATTAATCCTTTATTTGTTTTTTTGTCATAGCACTATAGCTTTCCAATTATGGTATCTTCACTCCTTTACAGAGAATGCTAAAAAGTTTGTTAAAAAGGTACTTGAATTTACGATGTTCATATATGAATATTGTAACTACCATTTCCGATTAGAAAGATTCTAGAATCAATAATAAAACGATAGCTACATAAGTTTTAATATAGTATGCGATCTAACCTATCCTTAAAAATTTGGCTAGTGGCCTTTGGTATCCATCTAAAATGATCAACGAAATAAAAGTGTACACGAATTCTAACAATAGACGTAATTAACCTCAAACGTTAAGCAATACTACGAGTATAAACTTCGCTTAAGACGAAACTGTTTGTAGGTTGTTTTCTCGGTAGTGTTGCAATTTAACTCTTAGGTATAAATATACGTATGGCTTACATAAATTTAATTTGCGTATTATCACCCACAGCCTGGTGGTTGAAAACGAAGACACAATACGCTTACATATTATTTATACTCTTAACTGGAGATAAATATAATAAAACAGACATAATAAAAAATTCAATTCTCATATATATTTACTGCTAGTTAATAACAGAGCTTTCCTCGATTTTTTTTTCATAAATTGTGTTTTTTTAGAAAATATATTTAAATACGAATTACATATTGATAAAATGATGAAATATGAATAATATTTTTCGATCTTACCGACAGAATAATAATAAAATATGAACTGCTTATTTATTAATTATTGGTAAAGTTGACTATACCACGAATAAAACAACCTTTTTTTAAAAATAAATCGTAGCTAGATCGATTGATCGCCCCCGAAATCTCCTGTATACTAAATTTTATGAAAATTATTAGAGTCGTTTCCGAGATTCAGATTATAAATATAGATTTATATACAAGAAATGCTCGTTTAAAGATATAAGATATATGTAATTATACAATCAAAATATCTTACTTTTATTAATGCTTCGATTACAATTTAAAAATCTACTCATATAATGTTATTTTAATTACTGAATACATAATAAGCACTCGGTAATATTTATTGGCTTTACCATAAAAATATTTATTTGAACAACAAAGAATCAAGTGAAAGATATATGCATGCATGCACGGACGACTGAGCACAATTTGACCTCAGTTACTCGTAGTTTGCCAATTTTTATAAGTCTATTTTAAGATTGTTTGGTACAGAGTACCCCTGCCATGTACAATCGTTATAATACAGACATGTATTACAATCGCATTTATGTCGCCGAATACACAAGTTTTGGTAGCTGTAGACGTTGTCCATTTAAGCAGACCTAAACACTAACATGATACCAATACTTTGCTTAATTTTAGTATGGAAACTACGTCAAGGAAGCAGATTCGAAAAATCCACCCGATACATACTATATACTATCAGATGCAAACGAATTGGTATAGTATATATATGAGGAAACACACTTTTACAGTGTTTTAAAATGCGAATAAGGGTTTCACCGGAGAGCGGATGCAGTGGTTTTCAGAGTATTAGACCAACGTGCTGAGATGATCATCTATTTACTGGTAGTATGGCATATTGTAAACTCGCACGGGTAACTACCACCATACTGTTTTTTTCTGCCGCGAAGTTATGTTTATGTTATGCTTTTTAGTTATACTTTACGGTTTAGAATGTGCGACAAATATTTTACAATGACACTTCAAGCTCATGTCTTAAAGTGTGTGGCGACAATCACATGATATCTATGGTATGCGGTAACCACTTCGAACTGATTGATCTAGTTTTTTTTTACGAGGAACCTTTGTAGGCGGTGGAATTTTGTTGTTTATCTCTCGGTAACACCACAGCTATCAATAATTACGGAGCCCTGAAAACGTAGCAATTGCGTTTACCTTTTAGGGTTCTATAACCGTATGAAAACGGTATCCTTATACATTATCATGTCGGTATTTATATTGCGTACTTTTCGTGATATGTGATACTTTCATTTACTCGCTCAGCGAACAAAAAATTAATTACTTAGAATACCTACTAACTGTGAAAGTTCACGATTGCAAAAACAATATAATTCCCATTAGGATCAGTCATCAGTCTTTATGCAATGCAATGACTCTGATAGCTTCTGCTAACTCAGCGGTAGATTGAGTATCGTGAGCTTCCAAT